ACACACACACACACAGACGACACAGTATTTTCTGATTTTATATTTTCTGACTGTCAGTGACTGCGTCCTATGTCAATTAACGTCAGTGCTAAAATAAATGTGATGTGAATGCTTTGATCCTGCAAATATTCTAATTGCACCTTCAACATTATTGTCTCTGTAATCTCACAAGAAGCCGCTGCTGTTTTGACTGACATGAAGATGGAAGTTGGTAGGATTGTGAACTAAAAATTAGTGGGAATAAATTATAGTTTAAATGGAAGTTTTGAAGCATGCTGAAAGACAGCATGGTAAATTGACTGAGCTAAATTGGACCTAACCTGACAAACATCAACACTGTAATTATGTCAGGTTTTTCGCTCCATACTTTACTGATTGCTTGCCTGAAAAAGTGTTACACCCAGATAACAAACCTCAACAGAGAGGTATCAGCCGAGCCTTGAAAAACAACTGCTGTCTACATTTTCTTTCTTTCTTTGTCTTTTTTGCTTTCACACATCGCAAACACAACCTGAAACAAATCCAGTTTAAAAGATCTCGACTATATAGTGTAAGTGGAAAATAGAGGATGCCATTTACCGCATATGACATTCACTTTATTCAAATTAATGATTTATGTGATCTGTTGTCCGATATAAAGATACCCAGACAAACACACACGTAGGAGCAAAATAATCCAAGCGGTGGATACAGAAGTTAGTGTGGAATTTTCTGTGTGAGGCAGAAATGAAAAGGTCACAGCCTGAGACGATGGCTAATGAGATGATCTGACAGCTAGTAGCTAATGTCAAGACCCTCTGTATTATCTAAACTCGTGCCAGTTGTTGCCCTAACAATGGTCTACCAGTAAATGTACATTGAGTGTTTATTTGAAAATGTGAACAGAACTTCTATGAACTTGCTGTTTAATCTAAAGTTTATTGACTTTATATCCCAGTATGAAGAATAAATATCCAGCTAGAAGAGAAGACCAGCTAGTTTTGCTATGCTTTTCAATGTTATACCCAGTATCTGGTGGTGCAGATACTGGGTGCTGGGGACTCAGATCTGACACCTGTATCACACTGGTCCAACCATTTCTTTCACTGGCTGACTCGCTCTCTTTTAATGCAACAAAACAGGATGTAAAATGATCAAAATATTTACATTATGTGGTTTATAAAGGTTTATATTATGAAGGTGGATGCCAGTGAGTATTGAAGTGATTGGGTCAAAACATTCTTACGATGTATCAATTGGCAGCATTACAAATATTAGGGCAGCTTACACTGACTTTTTAAGAAAATCCATTACTGTTAAGTGCATTTTTCTGTAAAATGATACGTCATCATTTGGAGCTACAGTTAATTTGTAAAAAAAAAAAAAAAATAATGACCACTTCATTAGTAAAATGCACAATAGAAAACTGCAGGCATAAATAACACAAAGTGAATACTGTTTTATGGTTTCATGCCTCCCCTTCATCAGGAAATAACAATTTCGGTGGCATATTCAATGACTTCTACATCTGAAAAGGCTGTCTCCTATAAACCATATATTAACTGATAACTGCTGTTATAATCAGACTGCTGTAAGCTAGCAGATCCAGAACAGGCTCACTGTCACCTTCTTCTTCAGCTATACCCTCGAAATGAGGGTTTACACATTTTTAAATAGTCTAACGTTCCTTTATTCAGTACAGTTCTGCAAGACCTTAGTTTGATCTATCGCTGATATCAGGCGAGATCAGATGAGAAACCATTTTCAAAAACAAATTCACGATTTATCCGGAGATATGTTGCATCTCAGCCTATTACAAATAAATTGTCTCAAAACATAAACGTGCTTCCTTTGAGTTCTTATGCAACCCAAACCACTTGGAGTTTAAAACGCTGAAATCAAATAAAAATGAAATTAAATGACATGATAGATGAAAGATGACACAGGCAGGCCCATTAATGCTCAACCTCCCTTGCATGTCCAAAGTTGCTCCATTTCATATCAAAAGGACGTCGCTGTGTAGATGACAAATTGACAACAGCTGCAACTAAAACAACTGAAGTGAATGATGCAAAGTGAATAATGATCTCCTTTCCATGGTTCCCGCCTCAATATTTCATAGTAAGTGATGATCTCCCAAACATAAAGGGTGTTGTTGCATCCATATTTCATTGGAGAACAATGCAGTGTAACTGACATACACAGTGAGGAAATGTGCTTACAAAGCATCAAAAGAACTGTCACACAGTATGGATGGCTGCAGAATAATATAGGGCACTGCTGGATGGATGTAACAAGCTTCATAGCTACATGCATCATTTGATCACATAATACAAAGCCAGTGTGTGTGTCTGTGTGTGAGACACGCATCATTTGATCGGGTAATGTAAGGCTTTGGTGCCTGTGTTTGTGTGCAAGTTTGCTTGACGCGCATCACTTGCCTATATACTACAAAATTGCAGCTTGCTTTGTGTGTGCGTGCGTGCGTGCGTGTGTGTGTGTGTGTTTGAGACATGCACCAGCTAGGTAAAAAAAAGCCAGGGTATATGCATGTATCTGTGTGTCAACAGAATGGGTGACACGCATCATATACTAAGATAATACAAAGGTTGGGTGTGTGTGTGTGTGTGTGTGTGTGTAGGCAACAAACAGTGGTATATCTAATAACAGGCCTTTCTGAATGAGAGAGTGATGAGTCCTGTCACTCCTGAACCACATACACAACCAGATGCACGCATACTGGCTTTCTGCTAAATTAACCATTGGAGTAAACTACAGACACTACATGAGGCAGCGCAGGCATGTACAGACAGACAGACACACACACACAGACACACCCTCTGACACAGAAACAAGCTCACAAACAAGCTGAAAGAGAGACTTGTGACTACAAATATATGCAGGGCATGTGAACACACACACACACACACACACAGATAAAATGCAGACATACTGACAGAGACACATGTGCCAGTGTAATGCGACACATAAATTGGGGCATGTATTATTAACTGTCTGAAATTTCACAGCACACATTGGGACTGTTGTACCTCAAAACAGAATGACATTAGAGAGAAACACAGGCAGGCACTATACATGACAACAACTGACATGGCAACACCGAGCGCTGAAAGCAGACTCTCCCATACCCATTCTATAGGGCTTATTCAATAGTAAAAACCTCAGCAGTTAATCAATCAACACAGTTATTTAACTCATGACAAATTGATTCTGTCCTTTATTTAAATGTTTTAGATGGCTGGGACATTGCTAATCAACAAAAACAATACAGTCTGTCTCAGTAGTGACTCAGACAACCCACATAATAGACATTTCAGCAAATAAGTTGTATTGCAGGGTCAGTTCTCCTGAATTACAGAAAAAGACAAACATTCCTCACTTACCTCTAGTAATGTGTAGCAGTGCTAACAGGTTGGTTTTAAGATAACTGCCTCTGAGACTTCTGCTGCCAACCTAATACAAGGGACATTTAAGGTGGTTTCCTTAAGAGCCACAGATCTCCCTATAAACACTTTTCACTGAAACATTCCTATATCAGTCCCTATGAAACCCAATGCTAGTGTTCTCTATGGGTTTTAAGTGTATCATACCTGTGTTGTTGATCTAATGCTGAGAGCACCACAAATGGAACTCCATTCACCTTTATTGTACTAGGGTGACAGCAAAGATCTCAGAGTGTGATATCAACTAAAATACAGGTGAGTGAGAAAATATCAAATAACCCTTTAAGTGGGCACCACAGCAAGTCATCACAGTACAGTACAGTCCAAATAAAATAAATCACAATGGGTGTGTGGTGTTGATAAAATGACAAACAACCAGCAATTAGCAGCATCCATCTTGCCAGTTGTCCTTTATGTTATAACTAATCAAGTAAGACGTACATTATAAATTAATTCCACTTGAAGTTGATGTATGAGGCAAAAACCATAAAATGAAACAAATAAAAACCTTTCTGAACAACCCCTTGAACAAAATGAGATGCTACAACAACTTCAAAGACGTTTGCTATGAAGATCTGAAAACTATACAGTCCTTTCTCTTATTCAAAAATAAATACTTTGAAATGAAGGATACAAATTACCTTTCATCAGAGTATTATACACTTAATTACTCCTTTCTGGAGAACAAAAAAACTGTATACTGTACATACTGTTAAGTAAGCACAATTCAATCCATCAAAAGCACGGATGAAAAACTCTAATATTTTGAAATCTTCATGCTCATTCTTAGACTTTGTTCTGGTACAGATGACTTGAATGTGTTCAACTAGTTGAAAAACATTATTTCGTTCACCAGTTTATGGACAATGTCAGACTGCAGCCCTCAGTGAACAACAGACCAAGCCTGAAACAACCTACACACTTTCTCATCTTTCACTCTCATAATAAAACTAAAATATCAATCAGAATATGTACTTGAAATAGATTCTAAATAACATCTAGTTTAACAAATGTGTAATTTGTAACAAAAAGGCTTGTATAAAAAGAGTTCACTGAGGTCTGTCTTAGACAGTTGACCTGTTATTGCCCATGTGGTTGTTCCTACTTCACTGACAGAAAAAGACAGTGACATCACTTTGTTTGGAGAAAACAGAGTAAAAAGACTTCTAACTATGTCCTTCAATTAAAAATTAAACATAACCGTACTAAAAACCAGAAGTCTCACAGGACATTTATATAATCCATGACTTTGTAGGTGTCACTGACCTTGTCTTTTATTCTTTGGGTTAATTTAAAATGGGATGACAGCATGTGATCTAAGGAGACAGCTTTATCTCTGTATTCACCAACTTAAAAGACACTGTTTAGGCTCCTAGTATGTCACTGTCCTCTCCCTTTTCTTCTCCTAGGTTGCAGTTGCTCCATCAGTACAGTTTCTCTATGATGAAGGCCAGGATGGCTGCTGCCAGAACAAGCCCAATTCCCAGCTTCTTCAGTCCTTCCCCGTCCAGACTGTAAGAGCCAGTCAACAAACCAGACGAAGACGTCATAGAAGCAGGACCTTGGACACCATTGGCCATCTGTTCCTGTTGGGTGAAACTTACATTAGACTCAGTTCAAGAAAAGTATGTGTCCTTCGTCTATTGTCATCCAAACACTATAATAACAATACTTTACTGACTTCTTTAAGGGAGACTTTGCTGATTGCTCTCTGTAGAGAAATAATGACTCCTGGATCAGCTACAGATATTGAGCTTGCAGTTATTCAATCAAACTACATGGCAGATGTTTACTGATGTGAGGATTTCAGTCAAATCAATAAATCTTGTGTGTGTGTTTCCAAAATCTGTGCACTTACAGTACATCATGATTGATTGACATAGCACAGATCATTCTGTAATGTTGGCTAGCAACTGGAGGAACATGGTGTAGAAGAAGAGGAACTTTGCATGCTGATGCTGTTGCACTGAGCTGAGCCAACCCCACAGACCTCTCTCTCTCTCTCATAAAGAGACAGCTGCAGACTAAACTGTTTCAATATTTTTTGAGAATTCTAATCTTCCTTCTGATATTATGTGAATTTCTCTCAGATGCATCCAAACACACACACAAACACAAATTATCTGTCTTGTCCCACACAAAGATCATTGTAGCTCATAGCATAAGTTGCCACCATAATTCATAAATAGTAAATCATTTTTAGATTAAATCAACTGGCCACAGTCACAAATTAGTGCTTGACAGCACAGTGACCAACGTATCAAATGTCTGTAATCAGAGAGTTCTGTTCAGTCTAAATGTGTTGGACCATTAAAAAGACATCCACCACTGAAGGGATATGACAATGAAAGATGGGAAAGCGAAATGCTGAGAAGAGAGAGAATATATAAACTAGGAGGGCAGGAAGAGGAAGACCAAATTCTGATTGTGTGTGTTTTCTTGTTCATCAATCAGCCAAATCAGAATCTACTCAACTCTTGGTTCTTCATAAAATAGTAATTTATATGTGGGGGAATATTATTACTTTTTATGGTTCATTGCTGCTGATCATTATGTACATTTAGAAATACATCTATTGATGCCACTTGATTCTTCCTATCTCTCACCTTCCGTCTGTCTCCAGTTTCATTTGGAAATTACAAAGAGTAATAAACAGAATTTTAAATCCACTGATTATTTCGATATTTTGTTGATGAAAGCATTCATAAAACGAGCCATTTGCTTATGCAAATGAGTGCATTTCAATTATGATTCCATTATCTCTGTGCAAAGCAGTTAATGCAGTTTTGTAGTGATCCAATTATTACAGAGTGCTGTCTATTGAATCAAGCTGATGTTGATGAACGTGCACTGTGATGTAGTTACGTAGGGAATCTGGGAGAGACATCAGAACATAAGAGTTAGCTTATAATGTTAGCACAACCAAACCAAGATTGTAACTGTGATAGATTGTGTTTGAGTTAATCTCTCAGTAGTATGTCATTCTAAAGTTGCTTTGCTACAATGTTTCTAAATCAAGTGCAAATTCACATACAACTGCTTCCTATAGCAACATAAAAAAATTCAGTCAGATGTTAAGCGTGCACCTAAAGCAATGACTGCCTTGGGCTGTATTTGATTCTGATGAGAGCAACATCAAAAATAAGCTGCCATTTTTCAGTTGTTGACAGTTGTATATATATATATATATATATATAATTCAGTTGGTAAAATTCAATACTGATAACCAGCCCTATTTCACCCTGGCCTCCACCCTCCCTCATCGATCATCATTCCATTTGATTACACATTTATTTGCTTTTATCTTAATGTCAGAGTGACCTGAGGTGCGATTTCGAGAAAATTGCACCTCAAGATGTGGCTTTTATAATTTGAGAACCAAGACTTGTCTCTGGTTGGAATGGATATCGATCTGGATGACCTTGTGGTTGTTCCTATATGTCTCATCCTGCATGACAGTTGATAAAATGCCTTATCACCCAGACAGTAGATTATGCAGGGCGATATTGAGCAATTGATCAGCGGCTTTCCATAATAAACTTTAATCAAGTTCTCTAGGGATAACTGTGAGAGGTTTGGCTTTGATATTAACCATAGGTAGATTGACTCCTCTCTCTCTCTCCCTCAGGTATCTCCATCAAGTCTTGTTCGACTATCCTCTGTCTGATCTACCTTTATTCCTTCTCTTCTCTTATCCTTTATCAATAGGATGATTAGCCAACTTCAGGAATTCTGTTTACCATTGCTAATATCTGGCTGTGCATGCTATCTATAAGTTTGCTCTCTTTTATAGTTAAAGGTTACTTCCCATGGAAGTAGAACATTTAGAAAAAATATTAAAATATACTTTAGAAACAGTTGCAATTGTAAAGAATTTGTACGTGTACATATTGTGCATTTATGCTATGAACTAAGATAAAAATAATTTGTAAGGTGCAAACACCTCTCTGGATGAACAGTATATATTCGTATGTAACTGAGAGTCAGCGCACACCTACACATGACTGTGTCTATGAACAGCTGCATAGCGCCTGTCCTGTGCCTCTTTATCGTCCACATTATTCCCGCTTCCCTGTCCTCTCTGATGCCACCCACTCTTCTCCTCACTGGTGTCGCTGAATGGATTCCTCTGTTACCGCACACAATGGAGGATGGATACTATGACCGACAACGCCTCAGTGACACATCCATAAGTGACTTACAGTAACCTCAGACAATATGTGGAGGGAGAATTAATAAGAGGACTGGCTGACATATTCACATTTGCTAAATGTTGGGATAATCGTTCGATTCCCTAATGGGGAAACTGACACGCCGTTTTGATGCTTCAAAAACAATAAGGGTTCTTTTTGCCAGGGTGTACTGTGGTAGCCATGTCCCTGTCATAGTGCATGTGTTACTTGTCGTTGAGCCTACTGACTATAAAAATGCGATTGTAACAAATACTTCTGTTAGGGGTACAATTCACTAATCCACTCTCGTCAGCAATAACATATTTAAAAGGACTCTTCAGTGAGGTTACACTGTATGACCTTTAGCAGGTTTGAAATGTTCACTAAAGATTGAGTGAACAGTCAGTGAGAAAACTGACTATTTTTATCGTTCATTTACTTTATTAACAACTAGATGGGAATGAAAAATGGAAAATAGACTTAATTGTAAATTTCATTTCTTGCTTACTTGAAGGAGAAACAGACCAAGATGAATACTTAATGGAAACTGAGACAAGAGGAGCAACAGACTAAGTGCACAGGACTGATGAAACCAAAACCATTATCTATCTCTATACTGACAGTCCAAGGATACTGCCTTCTTCTCTATCCATCTCTTTATCTGTCTCTCTGCAGGTGTCTTTTAGCAACAGGGTGCCAGGAGAGGGGCTGAACAGTAGAGTCTAAAATCTATTACTAGTAGGGAGAATAAGTGAAAGTCCAAGTGCCAGTAGGTGCGTGTCAGCACAGTGGGAGAGAGGAGCAGAGGAGTGGAGAGAAGTGAAATTAGGAAAAGGAAGAAGAAGAAGAAAGGGAACAGGAAAAGATGAGAGATGTGGCTTTCACTGATAGTTAACCACCTGCGAGCTGGCATGCTGAGTTCGTACATATGTCTGTGAGAAAGAGAGTGTGTGTGTGTGTAGGCCAGTGGTGGATAATGTTGGTCACTGTCTCTGCTCACAGAGGTAGAACAGAGCTAAATAACACTACTGCAGGGGCACAGACTGCGTAGCTACTTTTCCCTCAAGGTTTTCCATAGGACTCTTGAATATCTGTTTGTGTCTTAAAAACTCTTCCTCCAATTCCACCGTTTTTGAAAGAAATCTGCCTGCGTGTCTGGTGCAGCCTTCGCTAACACACCGGCATACGCACACCACATCACGAGGGTCAGAAAGCACAATACACAATGGTCACATTTCTCACATGATCCTCACCAGCTGTCAGTGTCACTCTAGACACACAGAGGCCATGGAAGTGGTGTGTGTGTATGTGAGAGAGAGTAAAACAGATCGCCTCCTTAGTCACGGGTGATTTGACAAAGCCATAGTGACAATCACAATGAGCTGCAGCTGTATTTACAACTGGACCAAGGGACGGGAGAGACATAAGGAGGGATTACAAGTAATATTTCTGATACAAACTATCACTGAGAGAAATAATGACAAGTAAAAAAAAAAAATAAAAAATAAAAATAAAGCAATAGAGGCTCAGTGGGAAACTTGAGTCATGTTCTCTTTCTGTCTTCCTCTTTTTCATCTGTCATCTAAAACTTACTCCATCACCACCACTGCAAAACCCTCTGACACAGCAATGTATGGGCGTGCAGGTACACACCTTGTCACTTTGCACATACTAGATCTTGGAATCTATAAATCTATACACCTGAACAGTACCCTTTATAGTCATTAACACAAAGATGCATCAAGTGCACAGTGAGGTGAGGTGTTAGGTGTATGTGCACGTGTCGAACACATGACAGACGCCATTTCACACAGAGAAGAGGGCAGATGCTTTCAGGATATGGTAAAAGGTACAAAGATCAAACGTGGACATAACATGTGCAGATACACACACACACACACACACACACACACACACACTATTAATACGAACACTTGATGGACCAAAATAAAAGATCAGTGTGATATAGAACAGGTATAAAAGCCTACACTATCTACTGTCAAGTAAATGTGGCACTGCAGTATACCAATTACTCTTTACGCAGAGAAAAGCTTTCTCCTGTTATTACAGTCATATTGTATCTTTGCCTGGAAGCAAAAAATAGACCATAGGTGGTTAGACAAAAAAGAAAATATTTCACATTTAATGTGACATTACACAATACACAGTTACATCAAATAATTTGCTGTTTAAAGAACTTTACCAACAATCTCTGTGTTGGGAATCAATCCAGGAAATGTGTCTTTGGAGATAAAGACGCAAGGCGTTTTTGTCAGATCCCAACACTGAAACAAGTTTAAGTGAGGAAAGGAAGAGGAAAGTCATCCCTGTAGCGGATACTATAAGCAGGTATTGGCGAAAAATGTGTGACCATGATATCTGTGTTTTACTGTAGCTAATGGAGCTGTCTCTGCTGGCCACTAGATACTTCCACTTCTGCTCACTTCAAAGAACCGAAAGCATTGTCCATTATATATACAGTCAGTGTATAGAAATAGTCACCTTAGGGCAGCACAGGTTACTTGAAGGCCACATCAAGCTTTTGTGGCATGGACTCAAAGAGAAAAATAAAGGCCTCTCTCAATTAAATACTCTTCCAATAACAAGACTGAAGTGCTGAGACATACTTCAACAAAACTGCAGCTGTATTTCTGTTGAACCAGCATGCTGAACTTAAGAGGACGATAAAGATAGAAATAAAATACAAAGCTACGGATGACTTATCTGCTGAAGAACTTTGCTCAGAGGAGGTTGTTTACAAGGTCTTTACTGGGGAAATCTATTTTTATTTATATACCGTGGAAGAAAAAGACAAGAAACATGAGATCACGATAGTTAAACTTTTTCCTAACTGTTGTTGGGGAAGTGCTTTGTTTTTTACATCTTCCATCTGTGGTTCAAAAGCAAACTCAGGGGCATTTAAAAACCTCTGACATTTTAAATCAACAAAATAGAATGAGGCTGAGTAATGCCATTTGACATATTAGGTAAGAATACTGAAAATAGACGTGTCTTATATTTTGATGGCTTAACATTTATTCCTTTGTTACTGTGACTTTGGTTCTTCAAGTATACACAAAGCGCAGGCCATGTAATACAATTTGACATGCTAAATGAAATGCTTAAAATAGCTACGCCTGCTGTTTTGAAAGCAAAACAAATTATTTGGTACTAGAGTAAACAAGTCATGCAAAGGCCAAGCAAAACCTTTTGACATTTTAAATTAAAAGTTTAAAAATAGATTTGAGAGGATTATCTGTATCCTGACCAGAAAAGACAGCCCGATGTTAGATTTGTTAGATTTTCCTGACAATACAGACGAAAACGTGTGCATAACGCAACATCAAAGCAACAACCCACAACAGTTGCATGTCGACATAGAGCAGTTCAATTGTTTGGGGTGAAATACAGATTTTGTGCGTGTGTGTTTTGTCTACATGATTACTGTGTATGTACAGCCAGTGTCTCATATAGCCTGTGGCTAGTAGGATGGTGCCAGTCACACCAGGGGGGACTGTGCATCTGTGTACATGTGGATATTAGTGTGTGGATCTGTGTGTATAAGCTTAGTTTTGCCAATGGACCTGTAGTGTATTTTAGTGTGTGTCTGTGTTTATGTGCTTAAGCATCATGATGCAAAGTACCAGCAATCCCACCCAATAAGCCTGTAACACAATATATAAAGATACAATTATAAATTGACTACATCCACATAGTGTGTGTTTTTAATTTATTTTTCTCCTTTTTCCACCTACTCACCTTAAACAAGTAAAATACACACACAAACACGCACACAATGGAAAACTGATAAAACAGAATTGGGAGGATAAATGAGCGGGAGGTAAAAGGAAGAAAGGTAGTGAAAGAAATGATGAAGAGAGAAAAAGGAAGAAAAAACGAAGAAACAAATAGGAAGAAAGGAAGACTAGGGAAAAACGAGAATACCAGCCACAGAGAAAAAGGAAGAAGAAAGGCCAGCAAATTTAATACGCTAGTAGAAATTCGTCCATTCACTTCCATTTTTTGTTATTTTGTCAATTTGTGGTCATGCAGGGACATTGTTCACTACTCGTATTCCTCCATTTCTATATCTCTCCCACCTCTCTCCTTTTTTTTTTTTTAAACTTTTATGCCGTCTTTAATACGAACTGTCAATTTGCTGTCATGTGGAAGGAGCAGAGTCGTTTTCCTCTCTCTCTCCCATTCTCTCAGTCTCCTTGAGAAAGTATGCTGTGAAAAGAGCTGATTATTGAATGGCACTCAAGCTGCTTTTCTGTCTCCTGATCTCTCCGTCTACCTCGCTCTCTCTTTCATTCTTGCTTCGTTTTTTTGGCCTCTCTCTCACCACCCCCCAACCCCAATCTGAGGATGAGGACTGGTGAAGATACTTTCTCTTTTTCTTTCCTTCACCATGCTGTTGAGTGCTTTCTCTGCTATTGTGTCCCACTAAAAGACTCATTACTGTTCTTCCCTATCTGCGGAAAGTGCTGTGTCTATGAATGAAGGGCTGACAGAGGAGATAGAGAGATAGAGAGAGAGTAAGAGAGAACAGAAGAAGAGATATTGCCCATGTCAATGAAAGCAAATTCCTCTCTTACTAAAACCTTGGTCTTGTTCATTGAATGAAATGGCAAAAACACCAAGGCCTATTAATGAATGTGTCACATCGCACAAAGGATTGAGAGAGAAGGGGAAAAAAATGAGAGACAGGAAAAGTCAGGTTGAAAAACAAACAAAAAGCAAAACAAAATGGAGGGGACAGACAAGAGTTAAAAATGACAGTATGCTACTACTGTTAAGGAGGATCCATCTTCTATACCTCCTAATTCATATTTAGTCACTGGAAAGGGAACTGCCACTGGCAGGGAAACAGGTTGTCAGTTCATTACAACAAACACATTCATACTGAGTGGCAGATTATATCCTTTAGTTCATCTGACTTTCATGTTTTGGGGGTTTGGGAGGACTTAAGGTACCTTGGTCTTTGTGGAAAAGGAGGAATCTTATCTAGTCCAGATGTGTTATATTATAGCATTTATGTTACCATAGTTCGTTACTTTCACCAATTGAAGGAAAATATTTGACTTAAAAGTGGTGGTACAGCAGCTTGACATTAGTTTAGACAATACAACCAAAACCACCTACTAATATGTGATTGAATAAATGAAGACCTTGTTGGGTCTGGTTCCTCTGCTTCACAAATTTGGCTTTAAAGAAAAATATCCTCTGCAAGCTGCAGAACTCAGCACAACATTCTTGGGCAAAGTGCAGTGTGCCATTAGCTCACTACACATCCATCCTATACCTGTCTATATATTCACACATACATGCATCTATTCATCTGCTCATCCATCAGTTGTGTGCATCTAAGCCATTATATCTCACATCCATGCACCCTTATCTATCTGTCCACTTTCAGGTCCATCCATCCACAGCCGTCCACCCAAGCCAGATGGATAGATTGATGGATTTATAGTGGTGTATTTATAGAGGAGTGGTGTATTTTTATACACCACTCCTCTATAAATCCATCAATCTATCCAT